TTTCTATTCCCTTTTTCATAAGCTTTCCTCATGCTTTTCTTCTTCTTCTGTTCTCTCTCCTCCAGCACAACATGGCCCATAGATTTTCCACTTCTCGCCACCCGGGAGGGAGCTGAAGTATGCCAGGGGGCGGGGCTGGTGGTGGAGACTGAATATCTATGAAGGAATTAGGTATTCTTTGACAAAGCCAAGTTTCTTTGCCAGAAACAGATGGGAGCAGTGGTGTGCTGGAAAACCAGCTGGTCAGAAAAACAGCCTCAACATACCCTGCCTTACACTGTTGGCCCATTTCTGTGGTGTAATCGCTTCTAACACATCTGATTTTAAGCTACCAACGGTTTGACAACCAGCTCCCAACATTCCTAAATATTTAACAATTGGCTTTTGCGAGCCTGTGCCAACCAGCTCTAGCACACTGGGTAGGAGAGAGACAGGAAAGAATGAGGAGTATCTGTCGGTGACTGCAGAGCCTCAATGTGGGTATCTGATAAGGAGAGAGGAAAGGGAGAAAGGCAAGGATGAGAAAAATATAGAGAAGTAAGAGCAATGACTTTGTGCTTCCCAGTTGCATATTTAGTTTTGACACTTTGACGTGTTCTGTTTTATTTGTGTTTGCAAGTTTAAACTTTGCCACCTAGGCGGAAACATGTTTCTCTCATCTCCCACTGCATCTACACCACTACTGTGGTAGACCGTATATACTTAATAAATATTTACTGAACGAATGAATGGAGAGGGAAATATGGCAACAGAAGCATCACTACGTTTGTATAGGTTGTGCACTGTACAAACACCGTCCTTTCCCAACAGGGCACATTGATGCCGTCCGGAGTGGTGCCCTTTGGAGTTGTGTGTGCCCTCAAACAGTGTCCCTGGAGGAAGTAGGGAAAGAAGCGTGGGCAAAGAGGTACATAGGGTCACAGGTAGTCAGTTAAATGTCTTGTGTTAGTCTTACTTTTCCGAGGCTGGACTTCATGCCAGGCACAGTTCCAGTTACTGGGGATATAGGAAGAGCAAAAAGAATGAGGCTATTCCTTGTGTTGAGCTTGCAGCTTAGTGAGGGAGACAGACCCTAACAAATACATGAACACAGTAAAATGTTAGATGGTTCTGGCTTCTCTGCAGAGAGGGGAAACTAGGTAATGCGAAAAGAAGTGACTGAGCTGGGCTCAGGGAGGGCCTCCCTGAGGAGGTGACATTTGAGGCAAGAGCAGAATGAGAAGAAAGAGCCACCCATGGAAAGACACGCAGAAAGAGCATTCCAGGCAGAGGGAAGAGCAGGTGCAAAGGCCCTGAGGTGGGACCGTGCGTGGCTTATGTGAGGATTAGAGAGATAGCAGGTGGCTGGGTGGTGGTGGGGGAGATGGAGAGTGATAGGAGATGAGATTGGAAAGGCTGGCAGGGCCAGCAATGCAAGACTAAGTCAGGACATTAAGGCAACCTTGCTGGGGGCCCTGCATCTTACAAGAGGGAAATGCAGAGGCTAGGGGTGGGACTGTTTAGCAACAAGTCTGATAGTCCCCGGTGTGACACACTGTCTGCTACCAGGCTGATTCTGCTGCTTCCTGATTGTGTAGCCTTGGGTCACTGACGTCCCCTCTCCAACCTTCATCATCCTCTTCTGTAAAGTAGGTGTGATGGATATGTGCACCCTGTGGTCGTGGTAAGGATTGAGGGATATAACCCAAAGTCGATTCTCAGCAAACAATAAAAATCATGAATATGATGAGCCCCGACTCTGTTCCAAGCCCTAGTCTAAGCACTTTTTATGTTTCAGCTCATTAAATCATGACCACATCTATGAGGGAGGTCCTATTCATAGTCCTATATTTTCGGTAAAGAAACTGAGCCCCAGAGGAGTTAAGTAACTTGCCCAAGGTCACACAATGTGGCAGAGATGACTGCCCACCAGAGATCCATGCTCCCTTCAGGGTGTAGAGATGTTACAAGGGGAGACTGCCCAGCCAGCGACTACATTTCCCAGCAACCCTTGCCTCTAGGTGAACCATGTGACTAGCTCCCACCTGGAAAGTGGGTGGAAACTGCCCAACTAGGGACTACATTTCCCAGCACCCCCTTGCCTCTTGTTGGACCAGATGACTAATTCCCACCAATGAAATGCAGGCAGAAATGACTGGTGTCACTTCTGAGCCTGAGTGGTTGAGAAGCAGGAGTGCCTTCTCCTTCCTCCATCTATGTTGAGTCCAAGGTGACCTTGGAGCCACATGCAAGACTCCGAGTCCTCGTAGACCTGATGTGCTAGGGGGTAGTCACACAATAAAGCAAACAACAACAACAATGATATGTTAGAATGAAATAAGGCATGCTTGGAGTGGCCTTTTTTCCTCCTTTTTCTTTAAAAGATGGTGTTCAGGGAAATCCTCACTGAAGAGGCAACATTTAAGCAAAGCCATCAAGGAAGTGAAGGAACTAGCTCTGCGTCTCTGTGGGCATCTGAGCAGCAAGGAGGAGGCCCAGCTGGAGCAGAGAGAGGGAGAGATGAGAGCAGATGAAGTCAGAGAGAGAGGGGCTGGATGGTGAGGGCCTCCCGTCCTTGTGGCCAGGACTGTGGCTTTATTCTGAGTGAGCTGGGCAGCCACCGAGGGTTCAGAGCAGAGGAGGGACGTGAGTGATGCGTGTTCTGTCAGGATGCCTGTGGTTGCTGGGTTGAGCGCAGGGAGCCCGGTGAGGAGGTGACTGCAGTAATCCAAGTGAGAGGTGGCAGTGGCCCGACCATGTGGGAAGGAATCAGTTTCTGGATCTGTTCTGAAAGTGGAGTCCAGAGGATTTGCTGAAGGGTTGGTTGTGGGGTGTGAGAACAAGAGAGGAGCTGGGAAAACTCCAAGGTGGCCCCTCCCGAGATGGGCAAAGAGTCTGGGGCAGCAAACTGA